GGAGGAAAGGGGCAGGGGGGGTTTGGAGAGAGAAAAAGAGAGACACACAGAGAGAGAGAGAAGGAAAGAGACAGAACGAATAAACATAGAACCAGATTAACATTTCTAGGCAAGAAAGCCATGTGACCACTGGAAGGAGGAACAACTGTGGAAAATCACAGAGTCATATCTCCTGCTCCACATCTTCCACAGAGCTCCTCTGTCTTCTACCACAGTTCACTGAGCTAGGTAAAGCTGGCATCATCTGCATGCAACACTGAAGAGTAAACAATCCCAACACAGGCATACAATCTTTACTTTAAAGTCTTTGGGTGCAGTCCTAAGACTAGTTGATACCTGTTCTGCCTTGCACCGTGCTGTTGAACATGACAGAGAAGATCTGTTGTTATTGTGGTCAGCGTGGGTTTTGAATTGGACCATCAGGCTTTAAAGTGACTCTTAAGTGACTCAAAACAATATTAAGCATGCTGGTAGGTCCCACCAACGCTACAACATGTAAATGTATCTTTAAGAAAGTCAATAAAGCATTTAATCACTCGCTAACAACGAATCCGCTGGCCGAGCTTAGTACACCTACTCAGATAAAGGATACGTTTGGTGCTCACCATCTTACAATAAGGCAACTTTGTCCAAAAAGGCTTAACTTAAAATGTGATTGTGGCTTTGTGAAAAACAGCAGCATTATTGAAATATCCATAATGACTAAAGCTAAAATGATAAGTTGACTAATCTTCTGTCAATTTGATAATCATTTAGCACAACTCCTGACATTTCCCTGTATGTGATTTTTATTTTTGCTGTTGTAATTTGTTGTCTTCTGTTTGCTATTCTAGTAAAGTGTTTTTATTGCATGTACAGCACTTTGGCTCGACCAAAAATCGTTTTAAAAATGTGCTATATAAATAAAACTTGATTTGATTTAATTATTTGTGTCATTTGTAATGAAATCTCTATTTCTTGATTTTCAAATGTGAATATTTGTGGTTTTCTTGGTCTTTAATGAAAGCAAACCGAATACATTTTCAGTTTTAGGAGGACTCTGTTCAACAAACTAAACATCTGAAGTAGGTCTTACTTTAATTTACATGATCAATTATTTTAGCAGCATGTTCAATTATCAAAATACTTGCTAATTATTTTTCAGTTACTAGATGTTTTGTTAAGCAACAAATGGTTGCAGCTGTAATAGATAACATATCTCAATACCCAATAAAGAAAATATCTTAGAATGTACACCTATTAAGTTTCACGTTTACAGATCTGCCACACTTTAGTAGTCTGACCTTTTTCAGCACCACTCTAGTAGATGAATTGTTAGTTTTATAAAGGCGGGATTAATTGACGCGAGATCACAAGGAGTTCTGATCAACTCGTGAAGGAACCACGTGACCTTGTTGACCCAGTCACACAGTGTTTTGCTTATCAAACCGTTTTAATGGAAGACTGTGGGCTTAAAGCTACAACATGTGAAACAGCTACTAAATGAGAACCCTGATTGTGACAAAGGAACATTTCTGTTGTGATTAAAATCTATTATTGAGTGTCTGCTAGAGGGAGTTTTAATGTGACACTAGGGGAGAATAAAAAAAAATTGTAAATTGCTTCCTGCTTCACATCCTATCATCCGCTTGCAGCTCAGTGTTATCAAGTTGGGGGAGATCTGGGATTGCTCACTGCTACAATCAGTCTGCATGACATCACCCACATGAAGTCATCATGTCTGTCAGAGTCAGCACTGCTGTATCTTTACTCATTCCTAGCCAATGTTATCTTCAAAGTTCTCACCAGGGATGAGGTGCGTCACTGCCTTACAAAATCAGTTTAAGTTCTTTCAATGCATTCTTAAGTCCCAGATGTTTTCAGAACCATAGGAATTAGTATTCACTGAGGCCACAGGACCGCCACACTGTTCACAGCATGCCACAGCGCACTTCAGCTGCTTCCTGTCTGCCTAACTCCTGTTGCACAGGGGGAGGTAGAGAAAAGCACGGAGGAAGACACAACCATTGTCCAGCCCTGTCCACTTCAATAACTTCACCAGTGCTCTTACAGCTGAGCAAATCACTAGAATAAAAATGAAGGATGGGTTGAACTGTTGGAAATGAATCCTTAACTATTTTAATCTGAACGGTGAAAGAACTAATTAAAGAAGACGTTTTCTTTCTTTAAAAGGGGCCCAGTCATGCCTACTGTAGTCCCCCTTAAGCCTCCTGGGAGAGAGAGGTAGGAAATCTCAGCTGCAGTCTCCAAAGAACGGGAGATAATTAGTTAATAGCTTTTGCTAGACTAAGCTGGTGATTTTCTTGTGTCTGTGTAACATAAGACAAGGTAGAGAGACACTCCTTGTGCATTTGCTAAACTGCTGATCGCTCAACTTCAGTGGTGGTATGCGTCCCCACGTCAGCAGCTAATGCTTGTCAATCACTTTCCCTGTGTAAACCATTTAAACTTTAGTGGTAACCCATTTGCATCTTAGCAGGCTCCCTCACGAGGCTGCTTGACAGCTCCCTGAAGACATCACCATTATGCTAACATCATGTGTGAACCTTCACCGACAGAGAGAAGAGCAAAGAGAGGGGGCTTCCTGCGGTAGTCAGGCATTCATCCACTAATATTGATTGCCAATTGAGAAACAAATTGTGCATTGCTTGTAGAGTATAAGAATGTGAAGACAGTTTCTGCTATAATTGTCTCCCATGCCCGAATGCAAAAATAAACCATTAAAAAAGAATGTTATATGTGGCTCATGTATATGCTTTGTCTAGCCTTTACTTAAACTGAGTATATGATTGGGTGTCACAGACATGTTATATTTAGTACTTTACCTGCAGCTCACACCAGGCAACTTCCACCCAGGTCTCAGTATCCAGGCCCCTGTACACCGTCTTGAAGGACCCTCTCCCCAGCTCTATGTCAAACTTCAGGAATCTTCCTCCTGGAGATGTGGAGACTGCTTTCATCTCTGCCTCCTCCTCGTTCTCCTCACTGGATGCCTTGATAGCAGCTTTACCACCACCATTGCATGTGGGATTTAAGGAATCTCCACCTTTCTCCTTCTCCTCATCTGCACTGGCACTTTCTGTTGCACTGTCTTTATGCCCACCTTGACTTTCAGTGCTGGAACCTTCCTGTATCCCACTGGTCCCCCGCGTCCTGTCCACTATTGTCCGCAGGTTTATGTTTAGGATCTTATTCCTGTTATCACATTCAGGTGCTTCAAAGGCCTGCTCATCTGCGTCCGAGAACCACAGACTCCTCCTGATAAATCTCTGATGCACATTCCTCTGATAACTGGACGCACTGGGATCACTCACCCCCCTAGCTACTGAGTCCACATGGTTGACATTGCCATCACCCATGGTCTCATACATATGTGGGGCCAGTTCACGCTGAGAGTTGGATACAGAGGGGTATTGTAATTCTTGGTGGACCTCTGAGTATGAATTAGGCTCCATGGTGATTTCAAAACTTCAGTCACTTTGGTTTCCAGTTCATTCGTTCCATGGCTAGACTTCCCAACGTGCAGAGCTAGAGATGAATACCTGCAGCGCCCACTCGGTGACGCAGTTTGCCAGCCGAGGCCCCTAACGACAGTGGGATGGATGATAGACGAGATTGCATCCGATATGAAGATCTGCAAAATAAACGTGTATCAAAACTTGAAACAAAATCAAACATTTCCTGGTGTTTAGGGGAAAACTTAAGATATATATTGGGTGTATGGGTGTGAGACATTACGGAGTTTAAGTTTGTTGATGTCAAATAAGCAGGTGGATAAAAAAAAGAGACCAGCCCACGAGTTTAAAACATTTATTTTAGCAGGAGCCATTAACGGCGAGGGAAACGACAAGCTAACTGGCTCTGACGTCACAAGTTAACGTTAAGTTGATTCAGAACTAACGTCTGTTGCTAATATACCGTAATAGCTCCGGTAACAACGGTTAGCTACAACATTAAATGACACTGAACAAAGATGGGACACGACTTACCTAGGTTTAAAAAGCGACCAAACAACCTCGGCTACACTCTCGTCAGCTTTCCACGACACATACGGACCTGTCAGATGTTAGAAAAGCCCCGCTAACGTTAGCAGATTGTCCATTGCGTTTCAAAGGTGCACTTTAAAACGCCCTATCTGCATAATGTCCACGTTTTCACGTACACAGGCAACCCCAAGGGCAGCAAACAAATCCGGGTCCAGCTAAATCTTTGCTAAGTGATCAAAAAACCCATATTGACGATGAAAAAAGACGAATATATTGTATTTATGTCCTTTTAAATCCTCGCATCCTTTTCCTCGGGTGCAGCTACAGCAGCTCACGATGCCTCTCCATGGTGCCTGCTGTATGCGGAGCGAGTAGTTAAACACCAGTAGGGCCGCTTTAAGACACGGGAGATTTCTGTGTGACTACCTCCCCTCGGTAATTAATTTACGCGGACAACAGTTTTTCGCTTGCTACCCATTAGGTTAATACAACGGTAAGGCTCACAAATGTGTTTCCCATTCAGCTGCTCGCTTGGCTCCACGCCCCTGGTAACGACTGGAGGGACCGTCCAATCACACAGCACGCTGGGACACCACATTAGACCCCACTCATCTGTTCAGAGTGACACATAGATCACATACAAATACTTATTTAAAGGCGGTCTAGAATCAATTCAAGTGATTGACAAAGCGGATAAATGATTATTCTTTCTAAAAGCCTGTTATCGTCTGTGTACATGTATTTAATTTCTCTCACGCCCTTCACCAACTCATCCAATCACGTGTCTCTGCCTCTCACTCAGAGCTCAACAGCCTGCTGTACAATATTTTTATAGGGATCTAATTTTGTAGTGGGCAAATACTATTTAAAAAACCTCTATGTGATTATGCTGTTCTTCCAACAGACAATGCTTGCACTTCCCCTACACTTTGCTTTGCAGCTCAATTTGTCAGAGGTGCAGCTGAGGTGCAGTAGCCTATACCGCACGCATGGCGTGATGAGCAGCAGCAACAGGGGAAGTGGGACTGAGGTAAGACATCCGAATCGATTTTTTTTTCAGAGAAGGGAAATCCTGTGTTGTGCTTTAATATGCTAAATGTGAATACATTTTAGATACTGGTATAATAAGAGGTGGGTTGAAATTAGAGAAGCCTTGATGGATTATTTTCTGCTCATAAAGGTTTTTATTCTTGTTTTTTGCAAACTGCATCCAAAACCATCAATAGTGCAATCCAACAAGTGCCACAAAGGTGCTGAAAGACATACCTGTAAAATGGAATTCTATGCAGCAGTCATGAATAGCAACATTGTCAAATTGACATGGTCATATCATTGTTTGGATTTGGTCAAAGAGATGTTGTGTCGTTGCTGCATTTTGATGTAAAATGATCCTGTTAAAGTATCCACCCAAAGTTGTTTCTGCATTTTAATGCCACTTCTGTCCTGTTCTCACATTACATGTCATCTATCAAGGGGGGGATGGGGTTATACCGGGTTATACATAAACTTTGCAGATTAAAAATGATGTGTGTACACTCGGAAATAAATGAATAAAATAAAACACTAAAACATAGACCTTAACATCTGGTGCAGGCATGCAAGGTCAGATGACAGTCCAGTTCAGTCTAGGAGTGAAGCATTGTTGGCACCTGAAGTGCCCTAATAAATAGTGAATGCCCTTCTTTGTTTCCACTTCACTGGCCAAATTGCTCAAACAAACACATGCAATCTCAGAGTTTACTTTTATATAATGTCACTCTGCTTCATGCCACAACAAGAGTTCTAATTGTGTTTGATGTGACAATTGAAGTTGCCATTTGACATTCAGTTACAACATATAGTGGCTTTTTGAGATGCAATTTCACAGGGCAAGGAAATGGGCATTGCTACATCATCCTTGTCTTTATAGTGCCATTTCAGATAGATCTGTGTGTGTGTGTGTGTGTGTGTGTGTGTGTGTGTGTGTGTGTGTGTGCGTGTGTGTGTGTGTGTGTGTGTGTGTGTGTGTGTGTGTGTGTGTGTGTGTGTGTGTGTGTGTGTGTGTGTGTGTGTGTGTGTGTGTGTGTGTGTGTGTGTGTGTGTGTGTGTGTGTGTGTGTGTGTGTGTGTGTGTGTGTGTGTGTGTGTGTGTGTGTGTGTGTGTGTGTGTTCCTTGCAGAGCTCAGCCAACAGATGCATAACATAATTCCCTTACGCTCAATAAAATAAGCAATTGTTTGTATTTACAATTTGTCTCCTTGTGTGAGTCAATACGAATGGAATAAAACCATGGTCGGCAGAATGAATATCTTTTATAGAGACTTTCCACAGCCTTTTAATATGTGCTTGTGTTACACTGTAATCTGAGACCAATCAGATTATGTGTCAGATGTCAGTTCGTTGCCAGCACATTCTTCAGCATGTCCTTGTAGATTTTACACTGAAACTTTCCCTAATAAAATGTTTCTATCTCTGATTGCTATATTAGCGGAAAAGACCACCCCTATGAAATAGCCATGTTATCTTTGCCCTGTGAAAGGCTGTAAAACTAAAAGCCCTTCAGAGAATCATGGAAATTAGATTTACAGTTAGGTCGATCCTCATCTGGACGAGGGCCAGAGTTTGAGGTGAGTGAGAGAGAGAGAGAGAGGCTGCTGATAGGACATGATGGATGAAATGGAGAGAAGTGCTGATGTATAAGAAAAAAACAAACAAAAGGAAGGGAAGCACACCCATGCAGCTATTGATGCAAGTTCATTTTCTTTTTTATAATGTTGCTAAACAACAGCATGTTCATTTAACTGAATAATAAATGCAAGGTCTCACCATGCCTAAGTGGTGTCTTGCATTGTTGCTGCAAAGAGCTTTCTGTATGTCAGAAACAAAGTGGTACAAAGCAATAGTCATGACATACACTCACAGTAACTGACACGCAGGTATTTAGCTAAGCGGTAATCAGTTAGTGCGACGATGTGGGAAAAGTTTAGGATTAGGTGTGCAAGTTGAATGAGTTCCTTTCTTTTGCCTGAAAGAAAGCCAAGACTTGAATTGCCTTTTGAATACACACTGAACAAACTAGTGTTTATGGTTCAATTAGATTGAGGTTTAATCTCAGGGTTATAGAGATTGATTTCAAAGCAAGTAAACCATTGCACTGCAACTAGGCATTAGGCAGACAGTTATTTATAAAGGGAGATAAATTATATTCCCCTGCTGTATGTGTGAGAGGGGTACATCAGCTTTGTATGGAAAGAAGTAGCATTTTATTTGTTTAAAAAACAAAATTGGCGCTAGTTTAAACCTCGCCCATCCTCTTCTTAAATGACTTCAGTTCATCACTTCGGTCCACATTAATCACTTTAAGAGATAATCTTTAAGTTAATTATCTGACAATCTGATTTCATTTAAACAATTTTTCTTTTATACTGCACACTTGGACACCTGATCTGAGTCTGCAGAAGGCAGAATATGTTAAGTTTTCCTGTCTGAATACATCTCCTATTCCACATTGACACGAGTTAAAAACAGATTCAAACAACTTGTATCATTGTCTTCCCTTCCATCCTCACCCTCCTCCTTTTCTGTCTCGGTGGTGTGTCCCCTGAGTCTTTTTTTAGACAAGGAATGCAGTGTGAATAATTCATCACCAAAATAATGATTGAAACCAAGGAGCAGTACAGAGCGATTTACTTAATGAGTACCTTTGGTTTTGGATTGTGCAAAATAACAATAGATCTGTAATGGCCGGGTGACTGATGAGCGCTCTGCTTTCAAATGGGAAAACAAAATGTAAAAAATAATGTGCAAATATGACGTTTACTGGGTGTTTTTCAATTGAAGTGTTATCAAAACGAAAGCCTGGATCAGATGTGTTTTTGCACAGACACATATAGCATTTCGCCATCCCCCTCGTGATAACAGTGTGACATACCATGGCCTATATTTCATATTTTCTAAATGATCTCCTCTGTGATTAGTTGTTATCCTATGTTTTCAGCCATATGATAGTAGTAAAGAACAGGATAAATCTTTACAAAAAGCTTGTACTGAATGAGTATGTGGCCCTTAACCTTGACCGACTCAATACTAAACCGATTATGTACGTCAAAAAGATTTCCTTATGTGTGCGGGTGAATTTCTGAGGAAATCCATTTGCCGTGTTGCCAGACATACTGATTGCATTTTTACAACTAGTGATCTCTCAACAAGCATTATCTCACTGTGGTCTGTTGACTTGGGGATAAAGGGCTGTCTCTGAAAAGCGTTTGTCAGTGTTTGAGAGCAGAATGGCTGACCCTGACACGTCATGACAGTATGCCATTTGTGGCATTTGGCACAACTCACAGTCACAAGGGCACTACACCACACCACGTTGCTTTCTCGTGGACTGTAGGGAAACATGTTTTGAAACACTGTCTAATTCCTTGTTATGAGTCTTACTATGGGGCATAATGGCTCAGAGTGAAAAAGATTTTGAGAACGCCCATGGAGACGATTTTTGAAGATTTGCTGGATGTTGTCAGGATGTCTCTGAAGTGTTAAAATAAAGCTGTGCTAGATTATAAAAATGAATGACATAAACTGAAATGACAGGTATGCTGCCAGATGAACAGCTTGGCCAGTGACATGTGTAATCCATGTCCAAAAGGCAATGGCTCATTAATGGAATTAAACATGGCTTGTCCAGTGGTTATCACCAGATTAAAAATAACTCTTCCAAAAATAATTGCTGCTACCAGAGCTCTTCTCTTACCCCCCTTCACCACAACTTCTGTAGAGTTAGTACTTCCCCCTCATACATCAACTTAACCAAGCCAACTGATTGTTGTGAATCTCCTGAATACATTGTAATTCAGCTGTGGCCTTCCCTGTTGCAAATTAGAGGGTACATCTCCTCTTTTCTATATCTCTGGAGCAGTGGGAAAACAGTTCATACAAGCTTTGTGGTTTGGTTAATCCCTGACAAACTATGCTCTCTGCAGCGGCAGGGGTGTGTTGTGAGAAAAAAAGGGAACGCTTCAGTGTCGAGGAAGCGACTGAAAGCACTGCTGATTATTTTATGTTCACAGAGAGTGTGCTAGGTTTTGTCCTTGACAAGACTGAATCCTTAGCGATAGTGCTCAGTCATAGCTGAACAGTAGCTATAAGTGGTTTGTCGGCAGCAGTGCTTCAAAGAAAGGAGTATTTTCATTATTTGTAATGAACAAGCAGAGTGTTTATCCAGCAACTGCATGGCCACTACATTTTTTTTTTCAGTGCAGAGTCCACTAGGATGAAGTATACACAAACACCAAACGTAGCCCATCTTGTTACATAATCATCACCCACACAAGAATCAATGAAATAAAGAATTCAACGCAAAACTAAGAATATTTATTTTATGCTTTTGGTTATCACCTGTTGATCACCCATATAATGCAACCTAAATTAATCTCCTTTTCTTAGCCCCTGCTTTATAGATTATGCAAACATAATTAATTAACTGCTGTGAGTTTAGGTCAATTTAGTTTTATACTTTGAACACGCAAGCATGAACACATCACACCTATTCTGGCTTCCCTCCACTGGCTTCCTGTCCATTTTAGAGTTCATTTTAAGATTTGATTGTTTGTTTTTACATCGCTCAATGGGCTGGCCCCTCTGTACACCCCCTCAAGGACTTTGAGTTCGGCTGATCAGCTGCTGCTAGTAGTCCCTAAAACCAAGAAAAAGACCAGGGTAGACCGAGTCTTCTCAGCGGTAGCCCCCAGGCTCTGGATTGACCTGCCCCCCCATGTCAAATTGTCGCCCACCCTTCAAACTTTTAAGTCCCGCCTGAAGACCCACCTCTTTTCCCTCGCTTTCGAGTCAGTTTGAGCTGTTTTATCTATTTTTATGCTTTTAATGTCTGTCCATAGCCTTTATGTGCCTTTTATCTATTCTTATGTATGCCTTTTATCTATTCTTATGTGTGCCTTTTATCTATTATTGTAATATTATATTTTATTATAATGTTATGTTTGCTGTGAAGCACTTCGGTAAACCCTCTGTTTTTAATATGTGCTATATAAATAAAGTGGATTGGATTGGATTATAGTAAAGTAGGATAAATGAACAAAACTGCATTCGTAAAATGGCGGTTCTGGGTTTTTCTCAGGGCAGTCATACAGCTAACTCTGTTATCCTGCTTTCAGAGACAGGTGTTCATATGAGCAGGAAATGACTGATGGGTCACAGACAGTATCACTCACCACCAGTATATCAAACAGACTGCTTTGATCTGATTATGTCAACAAACAGTGGAGAGCTCACAGCAACACACAATATTGTAAGCTCTGAGAAAAAGAAAATGTGCATCATTTAGAAAACCACAGCAAGGAAAAAGCCTTGATTGCTGCCCATGCTGACTTGTTCAGGTTCAGCGTGTTTTAATGGATCTGTTACCAGTGTTTCAGTATCTCTCTGCTGTACTAATGGATCTGTTTTCAAAGGTCACTTTTCTGTAATGGCTTGTTGTGCTAATTAGGTCAGAATGATAACCAGATTGTCAACATCGATGCACAGGAAGCACAAAAGTAGCGGCAGTATCATCATCATGCTGCATGTTGCTCTATTAAGAGAACAAAATGCAGCACAGAGCAGCCTTCCTGTTCGTTTGCAAGCCTACTTCTTGCAGGTGCTATCTCAAAGCCACAAACATTATCTCTGTGTCGGTTACTTTCTTCTCTCCCCAGGCCTCCCGTCCAGATGCTGGGCCCCGCAGCCCAGCCCCTCTGAACATGAACCACTATGCTAATAAGAAGAGTGCAGCGGAGAGCATGCTGGATGTGGCTCTACTGATGGCCAACGCATCCCAGCTAAAGGCTGTGATGGAGCAGGGACCAAACTTCTCCTTTTACATTCCCATCATCACTCTAATCAGCATCTCCCTGTGTCTGCAGGTCGCAGTCGGAGTCCTGCTCATCTTCACAGGTGAGAAAATTGTGCTTTTCTTTGTCTGGTAACCTTCACATCTCTCAACCTTCACGAGCCCTTTGTGTGTCTCTTATTAAGATTCACCAATGTCAAGTCCATGGCTCCTGACAAACAACTCATTACCAGTTGGACTAGCTGTAACCATGGAAACAAGGCCTGACACCAGGTCATAGTTTGCTAGGTTTTAGTGCTGCCGTCAGCACACGTGGGAGTTGAAGGAGGGAGGTTACTCTCTATACGTGCGTGTAAACGTGTCAGTACCTGTCACTGCTCATGTCTATGCATGACTTACAGTAAATAAACAACTAAATAGAAAAGTGCCTTCTATTCACTCATTCAGCAGCCACATCTGGTGTTGGAAAAAAAATAGGTGCATTGAGATGGAAAGATGAGTAAAGATGAGAGGCACATTGACTCATCTTAGCTCCAACCGGCAGAATAAATAAATGACTGTTTGTTAGTATCCTCTTCAAAACTGAAATACAACAACTCTGATGGTACAACGTCATTTCTCTCTCTTTCTCTCTCTATTTCTAATGTAAAATAAATTTAATTAAATAAAATTGAATTAATAAAATGTAGGTGATTACCCACTCCAATGCTTGGTTTATTTTCCTTAACTTGATTTCATATATATTTATAAAATTGAGATACTCATAATTTACCCCTTTGTAAATGTGCTGTGCGCACAAAAAAAAAACGTTATCATAATCCACGCTAAAATAAGATTTACTCTTTTTGTTTTTGTATGTGAAGGATCACATGTCAGAAGAAGGTCAGTCAACATGTGAGAGTCATCACACATTCATGAACGCCTGCCCCCTCTGACCCCCCTCCATCCACCAAATCTTCTGACTCCCCCCGACCCCCCCAGAAGCCCCCCTCGTTTCCACCCGAATATCAAACACATCTCATTCTCATCGCTCTTTTCACCCCTCTTCCTTCATTTTCTTTGACTGCTCTGAACCCCGCTGCCCCCACCATCCTCCCCTCCCGTTTCTGCCGATCCAGCTCTGTCTAATGGAACCAGTGGTGCGTGATGTGAGCAGCCTACATACCACCAGCCTTCCCTAACCCCACTCTACCCCACTCTACCCCACCCCAGGATCACACACAACCAGGCGGGGTCTTTACACCGTTTAACCTTTGGTAATCTCCCACAAACATACACGTACCGTTTTCCTGGTGGACACACACACATTAACCCTGAAATGTACCTTAGTTCTCTGTCTCATCATTGTAGCCAGTGTCTGTGATGATTAAGATGACAACTTGTACTAGTTATTTTCCATTATTTTTTAGATCAAGGTGTTTATTAGGCACACATGAGCAAGTATGTCACACAGGAAATACAAGCTTCCCCTGTTCAGTTCACTCTTCCCTGTATTGTTTTTTCTGTTTATTTCCTCGTGCTTTGTATCAAAAGCTTGTTGTCATTGTCTGTATAGAATAACTGCATATCTACATTGATTAACTGATATTTTACATACAAGTATTTGAATGTTAGGTTGAAGCTAAGGCCAATGAGTCAATGATGGTACAACAGGTTTAAAATGGATTAAAAACATTATATTATAAAGATGGTTTATTAATTGTATACATTCCAACTATAGATCTGAAAGTTATACTTGTCTTCAATGCTACACATATAACTAAAAAACGTGTAACTTATAACAGTTTATTGTGTTTTGTTGTCCTGAGCTCTACCACTAACCACTGTTCTCATTGACCTAAAGTCTCATAGACCTCTCTCTATATCAAAAATAACAATAATTTCCCAATCAACACATTGTTTGCCCATTTGATGAATTTGCAAGCTCAGAAGACAGGTTTAATTCCCTGTTATAATCAAACTGTAATAAAACTCAGAAATCCAAATAGATTTTTGGGGATATTTGAGAGATTATTGCTGTTATCAGTATAAATACACATCATATATATATAGATCTGATTAATCAATTGCTTTTAACTAGGTTTCACAAGTTAAGTCTCTTATTCCCCAGACAGAACTTGTGCAACATCTGAAACACTTTATCAATTCCAAAGTGTTTCTAAAGGCCTAGAAATGGTGTTTGGTATGTTTTCTGAGCTTTTAAAAGAGTATTTTTTGCGGAATGTAAACGGTATTCTGCGCAGCTTTCACTCAAAAAGGTATTAAGCAAAATAGCAGTTTAGACAGGGAAACACTGAGTTTAATGACTATTTTGTCCTCATATGGCCTTGTCAAAGTTTAATAAACGATACTCCTGCATTTTTGTGTGATTACTCATAGAGCCTTTGAATTTCTCAAACTCCCAGAATTAAGTATATATGGATTTATGGTTGTAAGCCAAATCCATGGAGAATCAGCTGGCTTGAGTCCCAGAATCAAGGAGACTGTTTAATTATATTTTTTTGGTTTTGTCCTCAGTTCGATGGAACCTGAATGATGAGCAAAGGCATTGGAGGCTTAACATTATGGAAAACTTGACCACATGTCTGGTTTTTATCATATTGGTTGTCAACATCTTCATCACAGCATTTGGAGTCCACCGGCCGAAGCAAAGCAACTAAAAAAGACACAAAGATACACACACAAGTATTCTCTACATTTTTGCCGCTCACATACATTCTTTATGCTCAACCTCTTTCTCACTCACAAACAGGTATTTTCTCTCCTGCTTTGCTGTGCAGTTGTCTGCTATAGACATTTATGTAGTCAGCATGTTTTTAGGCCTCTCCTCCCCTGACCTGGACTGCACAATCCCCTACCTGACCTACAAACACACTGACCTCTCCAGGCTCTCTGAGAAATTTCCAACAGAAAACGACTCACAAAAACTAAAAAACTACTACTGTTCATTTACCAGAAAAACATTGTCCTGCACTCAGAGAAAACAGCGAAAAAGAGAGAAACATCAGTAGTGACAAAGGGGTCTGGAGCTAAACAACACAACATTTGTTACAAGTGGACAAACAGGAAAGTGGAGACAACTGTGCTCAGAGACCTGTGACCTCACACTGTCTGTCTCTTTGTTGAACGATAGTGACCCTGAGCGCTGGCCAGACACAAATGCACACACAGAAAAACACACGCATACACACACATGCTGACAGCAGAACATGCTTCCATTTTTAATCGCCAGTGATGACGTGGGTGGAAGATGTCATGGTTCATTTCCAGACAGCATGAACCAAGAGGTTTGATGGGTCTGCTGAGCAAATGTATTCGGTGAAGGGTGTGCCTCATCTGACTCAAAGCACGTACCATGCACCTCCACAGCTTTAACCTTACCAATACATCTGCCCCCGACCACAGGCGTCATGCCTAACATTCAATTATAACAATGTTTGGTTGTGCCATGACTCTCTGTGCTCTGAGCAAAGATGGAGTGTGTCTGTGGTTCTCTGGACCAGCAGCAGCTGGTGAGTCAGAGTCAACACAGCACAGACCCCAGCAGAACTGCTTGTTAAAGTGGAAGCCTTAATTAGACTGTGTTTCAGAAATGTCACTGAAACCCCAATTAGAGTCGGAGCAAATGCTCATTTTATACACTTGAGTGGTTTAACACAAGAACATAAAAGCAGCTTGGGCCTGTTTCATGTAATCACCTGAGGAATATTCATGTTCCAATCTATAATTTCCTCAACGTTACTGTGACAAAGCACCTTTTCAGATGACAAACCAACGTCATAATCTCATCCTTTTCCTCCTCCACAACTATCATTGGTAACCGTGGAAACAGCCAGACGAGACAAGAGCCAGATTGATGACACACACAGCTCCACTCAGGGCAGATCTGTGGACTGATATATATACATTATGTATGTCTATGGCTCCTATACTCTGCTTGCTCCATCTCAGTCCTGGAGTTGAACATGACCGGCCCTGTGGGGGACCGACATCAGAGGATGCTGGTGATCATGGAGGTCGTGCGCTGCAGGACAAATAATAGCTCCCTCCCCTCGTGGGAATGTGGATACCAGTAATCGAAATGAACTTTCACCCTGGTGACACTTCCAACCCCCTTCAACACCTCCCTCTCCCCTTTCCACGACTTCCATCTCTCATCTGTTGCTCTCTCTTTTCAGACAAGAGAGGGGCGGTAAAGTGCTGCTTAGTGTTGCAAATCTCCCGATATCAGGCACCTGAACTCTCCTCCACAGCTGTACTGTATCATCTCCAATGTGGCCTTTTCTCTACTGATTCATAATCCTGTAGGAGATACTTGAAAAAAGGCTTAAAGTGAGTACAAAAGGAATCCGCCCTTCACACAGGTCCTTTATTAACAATTGACAGTGTTTAATGTAGCATTTAATTAAAGTTGACTCTAGTCATTCAATCAATTTAATTGTCATTATTAATTAATGAAGGCTGTCTGTTGCTCCAGTTTGTCATTGTTATAGCACACCAGAACATTTTCCATCATCCTCATGTTTCCTTCTTATGGTGCACTGAATGAGCGAGCGGCGCCCTCTAGTGTCTCTACGGATCCTGTTCATACAGTGAACGTCAGATTCATATTTTGTTGCTTTCTACATTTCTTGTTGTTGTAATGCTCTGGGAGGACTGTGATTGCCTTACGTTTATTCACTCATTATCTACATGTCATTTTCAGTTTTGCCATTGAGGGATGCAAGTAAAAGAAACAGATGTAATAGTTGTTCTAAAAACTATTTTTTTATGTCATGTTCACATTGTCAGACATATGAGAGAACACGGCACTGCTCATTACTGTGATTTTAATTGAATGCTAATTAATTGTATACATTTCTGTGTCTTTTGTTGTCACTCTTTTGACATACTGTACTACATAAAAACAAAAGATACCACTCCAGTTGATGTCAGCATTTGCTTTAATTGAGCAAATCATGAAAATGATTACAGTGCACTTTAGTCATTAGATTTCCAACAGCACCATCACAGTATTAATAAAGGCACTGAAGTGTGTGCGTGGTTGGACATATCTATTTTGTGTTTGAGAAACTGTGGTACACCAGAGCTCACAGGCATTTTCATTTAGGTTGCCTACTTAGTCCTCTTCTTCTTGTGTGTGTCAACAAGCTGTGTTTGATTGACATACCGTACTTCCTGTTGGTTTAGGTGTACCTGTTCGAGAGGGACAACCCTCTGTCATTCGTGTTGATGCATATTTTGTAGACATGATGCGATTCCCTGCATAGCTCCACCCAACTTCTACCTGAGCAGTCTAATCTGTCTGTGTCTGTGAGTATTTGAAAACAGCTGTGTGGGTGTGCAATTTCTCAGTTATTATTCCGCTTCATTTTAGCTGAAAATGTGATTGGAATTATTATTGTTTTTTACGCACAATAAATTCAGATACGATTATTTCCAAAAATCCATGTAAAGCAACGTCAGCTGTGGGAATTTCAACACAGAATGACACACATAATGTTGGCTTCAGTTTAAAAAACAAGTCAATTAGTGCTTACAAATGCGTGTAATTTTTAGCTCTCAAAGTGTGTATGAGTTTGGCACAGCAAAGTGGCAAATTTCACAGCTTGTTCTTCTCACAGCGCCTCAAGCAATTCAGCATCTAACGGTCTTCTTTTTTTCGCCTGCCAACCTCCGAATAGGATATAAAAACATCTTTAGCGCCTTTACTAAATCTTGCTGCTGAGCAGTGAAGAAAAGGGCTGGTGCTTCTCAGTGTCTCACCCTCTGTAGGCAGAAAGAGGGGAAACATAGAGTATTAAGAAATACATAGAGAGAGTGGTTTAGAAGGAAACAACACAAAGAGAGGAGAACATTGATATTCAAAGGTAATTTAAAATGTCCAGGGAAGTCTGAACCCTCTGTATGACTCACCTCCGTAATAGTAGAGCATTGCAATTCCAACTGCAAAACTGAAACAGCTCAGGAAGAACATTGGTCCTGCAAAAGGAAAGGAAATAGATAAAGTTCCCATCTGTGACATTGACACCAACAACACTAGAATATCTGATCAGCTGGTGGGCATTCAAAAATGTGTGTAGTTTGTTGGTGTCTTCTAAATTATTGGTATGAAGTAAAACAAATAATAAAGACAACATGGCAATAATCCAAAGCTGCTCTGTGCACAGTTTTCTTGTTCACAGTCATCATCAATCTTTTCTTTGTATGAATTCCGATTGGGAGTCATTCCTGATGACCTGTTTTCTCAGCTGACACACCTTTGACCCAGTGGAAGCGCCCTGACTGTTCAAAGGAATGCCGCACAGAGGAAGCTGTTTTTGACCCACAAAGCCAGCGCCGTGAATGTAATGGGATGATGAATGGGGCAGCAGCGTGGAGCAGCAGGGGCCACATTGTGATGCCAGGGGTTAAAAGGTTCAGCAGACAACTATGTTTGTAGAAGAACAAAGCTAAGTTGGGCTTTAGGGGTTTATCTGACAATCAGTGAGGGGCACAGAGGCACGGACAGTAAGACCACCATTTAAAACAAAACACACATCCTACTCATACAGCAAAATAAAACTACTACAACTGCAGATTCAAAGTTGTATTTCAGCCCATTAACCACAAATTATCATTTTTTTCTTGTCATACAAACAAAAACATCTGCTGCAAAGTTTTAAGAAAGGTTTGAGAATGATTTAATACTTTCTAGGTAGCAACCGGTGTCTGTTTATGCCAGTATACAGTCAATTTATTTTGCACAATATTATCCTTATATTCAGTTATGGTCTCTATCTATTTTGCAATGGTTTCCTGTTGCATCCTGTGCTTAACGCTGCCCAAGACGTTTGTGATTAATAGCAGATGACTGTATTTACAATTGAACCTCAAATATATATAAATAACAGAAAGTGTATTTATTGATCTACAGTACTCAGAAGTTGTGTGAGCTGTTGATTAGATGTACCTCTGTCATTCAGCACATATCGCTCTTGGTGGATCGCCATGGTGTTAGACCATTTTGCATCAGACGTTTCTAGAACGTAAAAGAGTGAAAAATAAGGTCAACCCAACACTTTTAATATGAGACTATGTTTAGTCACATCCACTACTTGCACTGCAGTCCAGGCAACACACTGGCTTCCTTCTTTTTCTTGGATAGGATAAGCTACATTAGGCCAGACAGGCAATTACACAGCAGGGGATCCACCGATATGGGCCACCAGGGAAGTTACAAGTGAGATCTGCCAAACCATTGCACTTCAAATGTATTGGATAACAACATGACTTTGAAAAAAAGAAGTGTAACTAACTTTATGAACAGGAATTTACAAGGGCATGAACAGACCTTTTCTCACTTCCATTTTCAGGACCAATTTTTAAAAAAGTAAAGCAAGGTGATTTAATTAAAATAAGGCTGTAACAATATCAGATTATAGCTAAATGGTTATTGTGAAAATAATTCTCAATAATAATATCGCAATTTAGAATATTTTGAAATATACCAGCATAAATGCTAGCAGTCAAATTTGACTTTTTTATTGTGTATTTTGTCTCTTTTTTGGCTTTTAATTACACTCATTTGTGTGTGAGACATTGAGTAAGGAGAATGCAAAGAAACTTAAATATAATTGATAAAATATAGGTAAAAAGCGTTGGGTTGTTAACACAATATTTTCCATCTGTATTATAAACATCACATGATTTAATTGTACAAATCAGGTATATTACGACACCCCTAACATGACCACTGCAGTAATTCTACTGCACAAGGAATTACCTTTCCGTTACACTACTTCAATACATCTCTGTGAGAAACTTCATCTTAAAAATACATTAAGATCTGTCTTTGTTTGTACCTTTCTGTATGACTCTGGTGGGCAGGCTGGAGTAGACGTCCTCAGCGTGGATGTGAAGTCCTCTGTAGAATTCATGACATGCCTCCTCGCCCTTCCTGTGCAGGTGCTTCAACAGCTCGGCTAACCGCACCTTGGTGGGAACGCTCAGCTTCCTGAACTGCAGGGGGGGACACATAATGAAATAAATAACTGTTCACAACTGTATACCTACACACTGTGCCAGAGACCAGGTGCAAAGACATGATCACTTTTCAAACAGGATGTTTCATGATGGAATAGTGTCAAATGTTAACTGTAGTGACCCCGTGGGCTTCCTTGTCACTGAGTATCTGGGGGTAGATCCTGTTTAGCTGCAGCACCAATCTGTCCATCAGTTCAGTGTCCATCCTCTGATCCGAGCACAGGAAGTGGGCGTCCCTCTGGAGCTGCTCATGGTAATCGTCAATGTCTAGTCAAGGACGATAGAAAGCACAACATTAAAGACAAACTTAAAAATGCACACTACACTACATTCAAACTTTTTTAATTCATATAAATTAAGACATTGGTGATCTAAAAGCTGCATGGGCCATTGTGTGGAGTTCACATCAGGTCATAAACGTATGACCCTGTTCAATTAGAGTATGCTACAAAGCTCTAATTGTAGGCCTGCAGATTTTATGTCTAGTCTGACAGTAAGTAGTTTCTTGGTAAGCTGGTCTTGGCACAAGTCTTGCTCTGAAAATAAATAATTAAGAGGTTTATTCTCCAGTTTAAAGGTAAATACAGTGGCTGTAAAATTGTCCATTTGACAACACTTAATAACAAATTTACTCGAAAGGGTGTGCTTAAATAAAATAGGCTCTTACATTTGTTTTAACAGGAAGGTCTGCAGTGAATAAAAGTGTGTTGAAGTCCATGTCCTTTATTGACTGCTGGTTAAACTTGATGATCATTTGTGTATGTATTTTGTAAACGTTTTTTGAAGATACAGACTGATTTCAAAACCAATCCCACATTTTCCTACGAACTCACTGTTGATGTCGATCTCATCTCACTTTGATGCTTTCAACACTGAGGAATCAAGAAGGGTATCTTAGTGACTGAAGTTAATGTTCAATATAAAAGAAGATTTCCTTTTCAGTGTCCATTTGTTAGTCTTTTAGTTTACATGTTCCAACAGTCTATCTTTGCCTTGTGAATGTGGTGACATCCAGCATTATAATTTCTGAAAAACATACAATTTACAAATTACATTTTTATTCAATAAAACTGGCAACACCTTTAAAACAGGTGATAATATCCTACTAGAAATAAATAAACAATATGTTTTGTTAAAGTAAATAAAGATCACATGATCTAAATGTCATATTTAAGGGCAGTTATTTTGAATACTCTTAAACTAAACATCAGGATTAGATATGATTGACAGTAAAGCATGCATATGTTTTCTAAATGGCTGCATTACTATTTAATTGCATCGTTTACATATAACTGCTTGTTTTGTTTTTAGGCTGGATATCTGAGCAGAAATATGATCCAAACACTTCGTCACATTAAGCCAAAAATGAATGCTTTTGATAGCACATTGCTATAGCACCAACAACATTTACAAACTGTAGATTATATGCAACAAGTGGCGCACCCAAACAGCACAGCAGGCGGCCAGTGATCCTCTGTATCCTTGAAGTGTGGGTGCAATGATTCCTGAAAAATATCCCAAAACATTTTACCCATGTTTCACAAACCTGTCATACTGAAAAACAGACTGGGGGACGTGCTTCCGAGCCTCCCGGTAAAACTTCCTGGTGTCCCCGGTGTGACGGTCTCTTTGCTCCGTTACATCAGCAAGCGGCGCCGCCTGCCGGGGCCACATGACCTCCGAGCCGCGTGGTGAGTATCCTGTGCTGAGCTGACAGGCAGATTACCGGAGCTAAGCCTTCTTTTACTCACCCTGAACCGCAGAGGTGTCAATTATCACTTTCATTTATTCCCTATTTTCCTTTATTCTAGTTTCAATTAGACCTGTTAATGACATATAATAAAAAAGAGAATTATTAATAATCATAATAAGAACATTAGGCTTAATAATACTCACTGTTAATATTATTTATATTACTATTAGTATTATTAATATAATCCCTATTATTATTAGTATTATTATTACTATCCCTATTATTATTCATTTTTGTGTGACTAACCCTATTATTATTCCTATTATTATTATTTAGATTTTACATTCTTACATTTTTGTATGATTATTATGTCACTTATTCCTGTGTGTTCCTGTGCTACATCATTACTCAGACAAAATCACTGCTGCCACCTTATCACGTTAGCTTGTAAACATTTACATTAGTCCCTCAGAGGGAAAGGTACACCATTGTATGATGTAATACAATTCACTTGTTATCAGTAGAAGTCTTTCATTTATTTACATTCTTTAAAAAATAACACAGTATTATTTACATTGTGGCCAGTGCTCCCCAGCTGATCTCCACACCCACCAAAGTGAGCCTTGACATGAGTTCTCAGCTGCCTGTAATGTTTTGTGAACCCCTTTTCCATAGAACTCCTTAGTGGTTAACTTGAACCAAAACATAACAATATGACTTGTTTCTGAAAAGCTCTGTTAAGAGCATGAAAGTCCCTTGACATTTAAATTATAGGGGTTGTCATCCAACAAGGCCAGTGTCCTGAAAGTGCAATGGCTCTTCTTTTCAGACAGAGGGCACTGTGCCATTACATTTTTTCAAAAGGCACATAAGTCTGTCAGATCAGTATGCAAATAGAGCCTTCATTCATACAGTGCAGAACTGCAGACATTATATTTTCAACAAGATCAGGAATGTTCAGTTATTATTTCCTATAGTCCTCATTGTACAGACCAATTCATTTGGCCGGTAACCAAGTCTTTGACTGATGATGGCATCTCACACTGATATAATCCGAATGGAAAATTCTTTGGCAGGGTTTATATTCCTTGTGTTGGATTCATCGGTGATAGATGGGCTCACTCCTGACAAACTGCTCTCCCGTCCTCCATACTGCCTTACGAAACCAGCTCTGCTCACTGCTGAGATCTGCAGGTCTGGATTCATGGTTTGGCTGGAGGATTGAGGAGGATCGCTGAATTCAGGAAGACCAGACATCTTTGCATATTCTAGGTTTGGGTGTAAGAGAGGCTGGTTGTAGTCGTAGCCTGGGAGAGTATAAAGTGGAGGAGCGGGGCCATATTCACGGTCAAGACCATAGGAGTACTGCTGATGACATCTGGAAGAAAGGACAATAAGTTGTTTTTAAGTGTGGTCTACACACATATTGACGTTTCTTTTTGTTTGTTTAAGCAAAAGTCAGCCTAAATCTCACCTGCAGGCTTGCATGTTGTCGCGCATGGCTGGGTTTTCATGGTCCCAAAGTGAAAGCACCTTCTCCGGGGTGTTGTTGTTGTTGTTGTTCCTGCCTTTATGGCTGTAGCGAGACCTGTTGTCTTCCTGATGTTGGGGCTGCTCCTCCCACTTCCACATATCTTGCTCCCTGTTTAAGAAATATATTTAAACATGCATATCAGTACTTCAGTTCGTGAATGCATTACAGAAAACTCACTGATAACTCATTTTGCTGAAAATACTTCCACATCAGTAATGCCAGAAAATACTAGTGTGGGTTTGGAGCTGTCTTTTTGTGAGTGAGTTTCATTTTTGTCTCATGCAAGAGGATGCTCATGCAGGTAAGCGGATGATACGGTACATAGATCTGCTTATTCTTTCACACTATTGCCCAGATCTTTATGTAGCGGTAACACACTATGTGCCAGCATAAGCAAAGAAGACAACAAGCCAGTGAACATGTATGTAAACAGTGCTGGCTTTAAAAAATATATAAGAAAGGAAATGTTTTAAACACATTAGAGCTCCAGTGAATAACAGTGACTTTAAACTGCAAATTCTCCATGGTCACCTTGATTTTAACTTATACTTGTGTTATGGTATCTCACCTCTCTTGCTTTTTCCTTTTGTCTTCTCTCATGCAGTCGACCCAACAGCAGGTGATGAAGGCCATGGACATGAAGAGGATTATGGCCGCGCTGATAATGGATGCCAGAACAGCCACACGGAAACCAAAGTCGTCATATGTAGGCAGAGCTGGGGTGTGAGAGAAGAAGAAGAAGAATGATGACTGATTAATCAACTTTATTTCAATGTCATGCACTTAAAGTTCCATTTATCATTCTGCAAAATCTATGTACAAGTCTGCCACTGCACATAAACTAATCTCACAAGTATTTCATTATTTTTGACCAGAGGAGATTGGCAGATTTTCTACTTTCCAACAAGAAAAGGACAATAAGATCTAAATCCCATTTTTCATTTATTTCCATTTCCCACCAGCTTCTTTTCTCCCATGATGATTTATCCTGAAACATAATTAAGATCCTGCTCTCCCCTTTTCCACTTGCTCATCAAAACAGCGGCCAACTGTGCACCTGCCTGAAATTATTCCTCTCTATCTCCATTACCATTAATATTCTCCTTTAATGAGCTTTATCCTCAAGCAAGACATCATTTTCTCTCAAATGTGTCCTCACATCATTTAGAAGAATTCATTATGGCAAGCCAAATATCAAGTATCTTTATGTAACATAGCCCACAGCCACAATGTCTATCACATGATGGTTAATATACAGTATATCCCATTTCCTCAGAATAATGAGCAGACAGACAGTTCAGGGGAGGTTTTGCAGCCACTGCAATTCTCCCAGTAAAAGTATTTTGAAGATTAGATTACATATCACTTGTTAGACGCTTTTATCCAAGGATGTATTCTACACACACACTTTTTAGTTACAAAGTGCATAATTAAGAGGCAATATTTCTAAATGAACTGTCGGATCCAGGTCTTAGTTACTCACGTTTACAGTAGGTCTCGCCCACCCAGTGGGGGCTGTTGGTGTCCATGACGCACTTCAGCTCACTTCCAACCAGTTTGTGTTTGGCTGGGCACTGCAGGGAGATGACTGTCCCCACCGTGGTGCCATTGCCCTGGATGATCCTCTGGGTGCCCAGGGCAGGCAGGATCATGGGTGCACACTGAGCCTGATCTAAAAGAAAAAAGTTAGAAGTTCGTTAATCATTAAAAGTTCAGCTAAAGTTTGAATACATGCATAATTCATGTATCTTCAAAAGAAATGTGTTTTCCCAGAGATGAACCGAGGACTCTGAATGCAAAAGAAGCACAAAACTGTTCAGGGTGAACAACAAAGAAGAATGGAGCACTGCAGATGGGATTTAATGTTGGATGGGACAATCATTCCACAGCTATCAGCACTGAACCCCTGAAGGGCTGCACAACGATGTGTGACAAAACACTGTCCGTCCCCTTGTAACCGCCTGGTGCTGTGCTGCATCGGATTCTAACAGTATCGAAACAGGAAATGTGATAAAGCATTAAACAAAAGGCCTGCAAGGCTGGTGGAAACATAAGGGCCATCTGGAGCCATGCTAAACAACTGGTTATCATACAGCACAGTGCTCAGCATATTGGCTACAGGAGGGGAGGTCTCACTGTGTTAGCTCGGTACGTCAGCAGTCTGGCACGGAGAACCAACAACATACTGTAAAATCACTTCATCATGACACAAGCTGTTGGGTTGCAAATAAAAACAATGACATCAAGTCGGTGATTTCCAGCACGACTGGGACGGATAATGTGATCAGGCCAAGTCCAAATCTGCCTGTTTACTGAGGAAACGCTGCTACTGGTGTTCACTTTAACCAATACACTTATGGCATTGGAGAGATTTTGTAGTTTTCCTCTTTGTAACTATTCACTGGAAGAAAATATCCAAGAATGTGATGTTCTTCCTAGGGGCTGTGCACCTATAGGAGAAGAATGTGGTGCACTTTTATCACCACAGGGGGCTTGAAAGCACACTAAAGGTTTGTGGTGTCACAGACAGACAGACAGACAGACAGACAGACAGACAGACAGACAGACAGACAGAGATGAGGATGAAGATTTACACACACTTCTGATCAAATGTAACAGTGACACTTGTAAAGATTCAACTGGGATACTCTCCTAAGCATTAAGCTCAACATGTTCACGTTTATGTAACATAGGGTTGCACTTAATAGCCGATAGATAGAGAGCATTACTTTTATGTAATGTATGTGTTTGTGTCAGAGAGAGATGTTCAGTGCATCAGTTTCTGGTGTAAAGCCACCAGTGATAACTCCCCTTTTCACTTCCTTTTTTCTTTCTAAAAATATGCGTAGATTATAAGATCTAGAAGAAAGGTGTGCATGATGTTCATTTACTTGCCAACAACTATTATTATATGATAGAAAGTGTATTCACCTATGCAATTTTTGTACAGACCCATCAAAAACAGATCAAATCTGTAATGCATACCTTGACTATTATTGAAGAACACTAACTTTAAAACTAGAGGGATATTACAAAAGATAAATTAAATCTCAATAAAAAAATGCAATGATCTTTGAATAAAACTTGTAGACAACCCTCTTACAAAATACGTGTAATATTCTAAAATACAGGCCTTTCTGTTAATAATAGAAGTAGAGCAAAGTGCCTAAAATAATTATCCGTCTCACACACCTCCATATATGCTCAACTCGAGACAGCATGTTGAATCATTTCATCGTTTTTACCTGAATTATTCCGGTAACGGCTGTCATCTTTGTTGGTAAGATCAGTCCGGGACACATCTGCTATCGAAGCTGTTGCCGCTGACATGGTGGTGACTGACAGACGACCCCCGGTCCGCTGTTTGGTGTGCGTAAAGACTGCGCACCGGAGCTCCTCTGTGCCCGGTACAGGCTAAACAAGTCGGGATTCCGTTGGACTGGAGTCGTGCGTGAGCTTCTCCACCCGATTGTATTCGTCCCTCTGCCTTTCAGTGAGCAGCCTGTCATCAACAGGGTCCTCCCACAACGCTTTCTCACCGCAACATCAACGTGTTCTAATTCCCCGGTTTGGACAGGGGCAGGGGCTCATGATGGGAACTCGAGAGTACGAAGAGAGCTGAAGTGATCGGTGGAGACCTTGTTGTTGACCAAACAAAAATGACTTTGTGAATTACACAAGGTCAGATAAAGTTAGATATATGCACGTTAGTGGGCAGGATGTGGCACCGCTGCTCGGTTTGATACGTGATACTTCAGACAGGGTTGAACATGATCAAAAGACACGCACATACTAGGCTACGTGATGTAAAGCTCATTTTAAGAAATGTGGGGCCATTAAGAAACATATTTTAGACTGCACTGTTCCCAGTCCTAACTCCAGTACCCACATTTCTTTTGCAAAAACAAGGCTTAAGTGTGAGTTTTAATTTAAAGGGAGCTACTTTATGAACAGATTTATAGCTTGATTGTCCAAACTGGCATCATATCTGGCTATCACAGTATTACATTTATGCTCAACATCAGCTTCAAAATATACTCATTAAATAATGCTGGCAAGTTGCAGAAGTGTGCCAAATACAAAGGGCTAAACATCATTTATTGATAATATAGTAAAGTGTCTTATACAAGGTGGAAGAGGGAATGACAATTGACTGCTCATTCTAAAAACTGTCCCTGTAAGTAACCACACTTCTCTGTTAGGAGACAGATGTGTTTTGTTCCACTTGTCTGTCAGTGTCTCACTTTGTCAGTTGAGATAGACTTGTGGTGAAGGTGATAACATGTGACCTAGATGATGAATCATAGATCTACACACACACGCACGCACGCGCACACGCACACGCACACACACACACACACACACACACACACACACACACACACACACACACACACACACACACACACACACACACACACACACACACACACACACACACACACACACAATAGAACACGTAAATCCTGCTCCCTCTGCTCACACATAATATGGAGGTCTCTCTTCACTTGGCATTCTCATCTGAGAGCAGCACTTTCCCCTTGTTCAAACGGCACGTCGGCCGGTGTAATGTCATTGAGAATTCTGGGCATGCATGAGACTGTTTCTGCTGTGGGTGATAAGTGTCTCCACAGGCGCAGTCCTGCTCACCTGAACAAACCCCCACAACACCTCAGTCACACTGGGAGCCTCTATTCAGACAGCAGTTTTCTCATCGTTCATGAATGCATTAGCATAGCTGATTAAAAGTGTTCATACTTGAGACTCGAGGACTATGTAAATGCTCAAGAATTGTATTCAAAACTGTACTAAAACAGGCTGCTTAGTGTTCCTTATGGAGAAACCCTGTCCTTTTTTAAACATGTCAAGTCAGGTGGCAGAGGTATATGTTTGTTGAACAAATGTTAATTGCTTCAACTGAACTCTAATCAGATAGGCATGAAAAAAAGTGTCCTTGCGTTTCGTAATGTGTGCAGCTGTACTGGAGAGGCTTGAGTTCAGTGTTCCCGCATATTGTTGAAAGAAAGCCAACCCCTGAACAACGTTTTGGAAAATCAACTGCTCAGTGTCCACAGACTACAAATGTTTGAGAATATGTTTAGATTACCTTGAGCAGAGAGAGAAGATAGAGAACGGGACACAGTGGAAGAGGACATTTTGAGAAATTAGTGATCCAGTTTTCTCTTCTGATTTGGAATCGGTTGCTCCAGCAACAGTTAGTGTGTTCTGTCAAAGTCTCAACGGGTACAGTTTGAACCCTCAGTACTTTCCACTTAATTCTCTGCAGGCCTGTGTTCTCTGTGTAGTCCAATAGACAAAAAGGAGGCGTCCTAATGAAGCCTGGGACAGTCAACAAAGCCCTTTTTATACTGTATTAAAAAGGGATAATGCTGTTATTGAGTATTTTTGTTACCAAGTGACCAAGAGAGGCAAAAAACATTGGGAGGAAATCAGGTTATGCTCTCCGGCTGTTGCTGTTTTATTAATAACCTGATCTGACAGCAGAGGCAGGGAAAAGGTGAGGCGGGTGAGAGTGGTCAGCTCCGTGTGTCCGCACTGCCCCTGACAGCCTCTGCTTGGTGGGGAGCCACTCCATCACACAGGTAATTAAGTAGGAGGGGCCCTGCCAGCGGCCCCCGTCAACACTGCTGCTCGACCAGGGCCACATATGGCTGGAGGTGTGGGTGGAGGAGACTGAAGGTGCCCTCGCTGAAGAGTCCTTCGTTAGTTCCTAAAGTGATAAAACAAGCATCCAAGAGATATCATTGACTACACTACACCATTCCTGTGGCAATTATTTTTATTTAAAGGCTTCTTCTCCAAATAGGCTGAAAGGCTTTGTCGAAAAGGTCATTGTTAAAAGAATAATTCATATTTTTTAAATAGAGTGTTTAAAAATAAAACACTTCCCAGAAACCATTTAATGTTAGTGCCAGAGTCTCATTAAGAAGGATGGATTGTCTCTGTACTGCTGAGAAATGCTTGTGGTTGAATACCCTTGTTAAGGAAAGTAGAGACTACTTATACAATGAAACCTATTTTTCTCTCACATGCACGCACATGCAAACACACACGCACGCACGCACGCACACACAGTGATTTGTGAATAACATTATTAACACTCCTTTCTCTGTCTCCTCTGTCAGTAATCTCTGAACAAATCACTTGCTTCGGCTGGATTGTGGCCACCAGCGAACGGGCTGCTTCATAAATCTGAACCTTCAGTCACTTGCTGGGAGAGAGCGCGGAATGAAAGAGAGAGGAGATGGGAAACGGATGGCAGGTGAGAAGAAGAATGAGACTTTAGGAGGAAATTGAGTTGATCAAGCATTTATTTGCGTCAGTGCTACCTCAGATGTGCACAGCTTCCCAGGCATAGCTTAGCTCATACACCACAGAAGATGAGGGACAGTATTGCTGTGGTGGTGCTGGGAGGAGAAATTAAGTCAGTTATACATACTTTTTTGGTAAGGGATTTGTTTAGTGAGGCAGATTGAATGACAACCTTTACTTTATTTTATTAAGCTCAGATGATACAGAACTTCCTTTCCAGCTTGTGATTGTTTTTCATCACACAAATGCATAATATTTACGTGAGCACAAAGATTTAGTGGTGAAACTGATGATTTGACTGTGTTTGCCATGGTGACAGTCCTATAGTTTTGCATGCAAGCTAACCTTTTAATATCCTTAGTTTTGCCTGTATTTGATCGTAATAGTATTGGGCAAAGTCAAAAAAGTTGTTACAATTCAGCTTGACAGGGAGATCCAACAGTTACAGGAATATTCACTCAACTTGACAACCTCATTTTGGAGCAAGAGAAAAGAGTTGGATCACTAAAGTCAGTAAGATTCATCATCTAGGAACCATAGATGGCTTCCATTAAATGTAGCATGTCATCCAAAAGGCTATAGTTGTTGAAACACTTTAGTCTAGACCAAAGTGGTGGACCTACATTTCAACCCCAAATAAATACCTCCTCCGAACAGCCCTCCACCCCGACGCTCAGATCATTCACCTCCCCTGTCATCAGAGACGAAGAGAAATAGATAGAAGAAAAAAGGTAACATTAGCAAATATGGGGAAATTTAAGGAAAGCACGAAACATACGGAATTGCAACCGTTTCTTTGTGTCACAGCTACCCTGCAGGTTTCTAAAGTGTTTAGACATCCATGTGTGCCAAGCAGTGTTAATAGAACCGGGGCGACCTGGGATGATTCCCGCTGAGGTATTGACCGAGAGCTAACAGTAGGGCGTCCCGACGGTGCTGAAGAAAACAAATGAAAGATGAGAGAGTCTGAAGTGTAGCAGGAGGGGATATACTGAGAGAAAACAGGAGAGAAAAGAGAGTGAGCTAGGCCTGAACATATAGGAGGAGGAAAAACTAAGGGAAGAGAGAGATTGTGAAAACATTCTGAGTTTAGGGAATGTGCTGCTGCAAATATAGATAAGCTGTTTCTCTTTCCTATGCGTTTTGTGAAGTAGTGACACCGGAAAAAGAAAAGAGACAAGGTTTGATGACAGAGAAAATAGAAATCTGACAGGGCTGCCAAGGTCTAGTGGCTCCAGTGTGTAGCTCATCCACTGCTTATCTCAAGAGGGTCTCTCTGTGCGTTCATCCATTCACAGGAACAAGTACACAAGATACACCTTATTATTACGGACAAGGGAGGAACAAGGCCTCAGCAAACAATGCATTATGTGAGCACAACTTGAGAAATGTTTCTGGGTCCAGATTGTATTAAAACCTCTTCTTACCAATGCAGTAACGCTGCAGTAGTGACCAAATGCTGCTCTATTATAACTGTATTTGTGTATCTTAGATTTACAGTTTCTTTGTAGGTTATATGTGTGAACATTAAGACTTTCCTTAGCTGCATCTCACTTGACTTATTAATATGCTACTGCCAAATGACTCATTTTGACATCATTGTCAAAATGGCACCTTAGTTCTTTCACTTCATGCTGCCTTTCACAATGTTCCAAGCTGATGAGATGTTAGATGTTCTGTATAATGACACATTCAGGTCTGGTGTTTTACAACATCATTTGTTCAATGGCCCAGAGTAGAGAATGTTCAGTTATGGATAATGTTTTCATCATTAGATGTGCTCATTTAGGCTGCAGAGTGCAAGTGTGTGCAAGTGTGTGCATGCATACTCTCATTTACATATCTGTCAGAGCAAAAACAGGTGTGAAACTAAATAATTATTTAGATATTACGTTTTCTTGCAATTAATGGAGAAAAACTCTATTATTCCATGAAACAATGCTGCTTTCTTTTATGGGAAGATGTAAAGTATTTGGGGAGAGCTAATGAAACCGTAGATCGCTTCTGAGGACATTCTGCTCATTCACTTAAATAGACCTCAAATCGTCATCATCAAACCTAGCTTAACGGTTTCAGATTAGCATAAAATGATAGGATGGCCAACTGTCTCTAAGGCTGTGATCTGAATGAGATCAAACATTTTCTAGCCACCTCCACTCTATGCTGTAAATGAGACAAAGAGCTGAATGATGTAGTCTCTGGTGATTTATTATTACTATTACAGTAATTCATTTTCATCTAGTAAATCTCCACCATGTATCTTCAGACTCTGTATTAAATGTAGGACGTTTCCACCAGAGCGTCTGGTA